CTTTGACACTGTAGACCAAACCGATTGAGGCATGGGAAGGTGCCTGTGGAGGACCAGAGCACATGGAGCCATGTCTGGTCCTCATGAGCATTTATTTTCTGCTATCACTTAGAGCCCACCCTGGTGGGACCGAGGTCGGCTGCAGAGGAAGGTGTTCCACACTCCCCTTGCTCCACAATCACCCATGGCTCCACGGTGCCCAGACTTTTCTTTATTAATTTAAAAGGATCAGTCAGATAACTACAGGTGGAGTTTTTTTTAAGCAAACGTTTGTATTTACAAATTCAAAGTGGATAGCTGAGTGAGATTTCACAAAATAAAGGAACAGAACATCTCCAGCTCACCTGAGCTCCTCTCTGTCCCCTCCCTGTCATTAGCCCCTCTCCTCCCAAAGGTAATGCTATCCTGAGATGGGGGAGCATGTGTTTTGTTTTGTTTGTTTGTTTTTCCTTTTAAATAGATGTTATTTTTTAGAGAAGGTTTAAGTTCGTAGCAAAACTGAGCAGAAAGTACAAAGTTTCCATACACCTCTGCTCCCCTCTGCCCCACACATGATCAGCTCTTTCTAGGTGACAGGTCTATACAAACCTACTCCAAAAGTTCAGGGAAGCTGAAAGGCCAAAAATAAGAGGCTTATGTATCCAATTTATTTTTCTCTCTTTCTTTTTTTTTTTTGAGTTGGGATTTCACTCTGTCACCCAGGCTGGAGTGCAGTGGCATGATCATGGCTCACCGCAGCTTCAAACTCCTGGGCTCAAGCGATCCTCCTGCCTCAGCCTCCAAAGTAGGTGGCACTACAGGCACCCTCAGCTATGTTTTTTGTTTGTTTGTTTGTTTTTGTAGAGATAAAGTATTGCTGTGTTGCCCAGGCTTGTCTTGAACTCCTGGATTCAAGTGATCCTCTTACCTCGACCTCTCAAAGTGCTGGGATTATGGCCATGAGCCACTGCTCCTGTCCAAGTTTCTTTGAAAAAAAAAAAAACAGCCAAAAGACATTTAATAAGAACTTATGAAGAGAAGCCATGTCTATGTCTCAGGTGGTGGTGAGACAAGGTAGTGGATCCCTGCACCATTACCCCCCAGACCACAAAGGGTTTCTATACCACAAAGAAGAAGTGATTCAGAAAGGCTGTGTAGGACCTCTGAAAGTTCGATAATATCAAGGTTGTTCCTTATGTACCTGTTCTTACATAAGGAACAATAGACAAATGGAAAATGCCTTCCCTGAATTGAAATCAATCAGTAGTCAACATGGCAGATGAGCACCCAAGATGGAGCAGCTTTGGCCTCTACAAAGCCTCTCCCACTGTCAATATCAAATCAGAGGAGAACATTTGTTACAATCAATGAACTAACTCTGATGCATCTTTATCACCTAAAGTCCATGGTATACATTAGGCTTCATCTTGGTGTTGTGTATTCTATGAGCTTGGATGAATGTGTAATGCCATCTTTCCACCATTATAGCATCATACAGAGTAGTTTCACTGCCTTGAAAATGCTCTGTGCTTTACCTAGTCATCCCTCTCTTTCCCCAACTCCTGGCAATGCCTGATCTTTTTACTGTCTCCATGGTTTTGTCTTTTCCAGAGTGTCATATAGTTAAAATCATACACTACACAGCTTTTTCAGATTGGCTTCTTTCACTTAGTAGCATGCACTTACAATTCCTCTGTGTCTCTCCGTGGCTTGATAGTGCCTTTCATTTTAGTCCTGAATAATATACCATTGTCTGGATGTAGGTATAAGTTTTTTTGTTTTTTTTTGAGTTGGAGTCTCACTCTGTCGCCCAGACTGGAGTGCAGTGGCCGCTCCCGGCCACCGCAGCCTCGACCTGCTGGGCTCCGGTGATCCTTCCACCTCAGCCTTTCAAGTAGCCAGAATTATAGGCATGCGCTACCACGCCTGGCTGATTTTTTGATTTATTGTAGAGATGAGGTCTCGCCTGCCCAGGCGGGTCTCGAACCCGCGGGCTCAGGCAATCCACTCACCTCAGCCTCCCAAAGGCGCAGGATTACAGGCTGAGCCACCGAGCCCGGCAAGGGTATAAGTTTTTGAAGAAAGAAGTGGACTGAGTGTAGAGCAGGTTTTACTGATAGTTTCTTTTTTTTTATATACCTGCACAGTGCCAGGACTGATATACTAGAGTAGGTCCTTCCTTCAAAGTGCAAAGAACTTGAAAGATCTTGCATCGGTCAATTCTGTGTGTTGCGCTTCACCTCCCAAATATCGCTCTCGGAATAAGAATATGGTATTGGATGGCAGGGGACAGGGTGGAGCTCAGGTGACTGTATTGCTCACACGTGTCTTGACATAAATGATTCCACAGAGGTCAAGTTCTGTTTAGCGGGAATTGACTATGTGACACATAGAGTGAAGAAAGGTATTGGCCCAGAAGTTTCTTCCCCTCTCATGTGGGGGCAGTCTGTGGGGTGGGCAGCACTTCTCTCCATGAATCCGGGACCCAGGTCCCTTCCGTGTTGTGGCTGTGCTTCCCCGAGCCTTGTCATTTTGTTCATCTAGCTAGAGTGATATGTGATCTTTTGGACAAACTATGAACATTAAGCCAGAGTCGTGTGTGGAGGGTTAATTTGACATGCGGTCAGCTGGTCATCTAGCACTGTCCCAGGAATAATTTGGTGAAGGACAACAAAGCCTTGATGAGGAGGCTGAGGAGATCTGAGTATGGGGGTGCCAGCCCGGGGCACTTCAGTGAGTGCTGGCTTAGGGGTAGTAGCATCAGGGTGAGCCTGAGCAGAGTGTGACCCGTAAGGGGTGCTGAGATTCCACAAAAGAGGCTGGGGCATCTCATTCCTCATGGCTTTATCAGGGCCCTCTTGTGCGCCCTTCAGGAAGACACTGGCCTGTGGCCTGGGCCCACTGAGGGGTCTCAGCCTGCCTTCTCGGTGCCTGGCAGGGTGCACTGTGAGAGTGGTGATCGTCTAGTGAGTGGGACTCTGACCCGCACTGCTAGCGCCTGACGTTCATTTTGCCACTTACTTTAGATTTTGTGAACTTACTCAGGATAGCTGGTCTCTTGGCCGTTCCTCTGATGGTTTTTAAAGGTTAAGAAAGAAAGAAAGAAAGAAAGAAAGAAAGAAAGAAAGAAAGAAAGAAAGAAAGAAAGAAAGAAGGAAGGAAGGAAGGAAGGAAGGAAGGAAGGAAGGAAGGAAGGAAGGAAGGAAGGAAGGAAGGAAGGAAGGAAGGAAGGAAGGAAGAAAAAAGGAGTTTCATTTAGCAAGACAGCTAAAGTCACAGGCTTCATATTCAGAACACTCTGGACTGGCAAGTATGAGGACCCCAAGGAAGACTGTCTCAGTCCTTTTTACTATGAGAAAAGTCAAGAGTGCTGCGATGGGCACCTTTTGCTGAGAATTATGTTTCTGAGAGGATTTTAATGAGAATGCCTTGAGCACAGGTCATCATGTGGGAACTGGGGAGATCTGAAGCTTCCCTCCTTCAAGCTATCTCCTCCCTCTCAGAGGCCAAGGGCTGCCAAGCCTGTCTCCCACACACCTCAGCAAAAAGTCCCTGGCTCTCCTCCCAGCTGCCTTGCTGTGACCTCGTGGGGTGTGAGAAGGAGGAAGGGAATCTACATTTTGGACAACCCTTCCTTCCTCCTTTCTGAGAAACAGTCCAGGCCCCCACACCTGTTGGGCCTCAGAGCTTCCCAGAGCTTCTCAGAGTCCAGGGTCTAGCGTGGATCCTCCACCCAGCCCAAGATGTTGCTGAGGAGGCCGGACAAGAAGCCTGTCTTATTTCCTGTGGCTGCTGCAACAACTTTCCAAAACTAGGATAGCTGAAAACAATCAAAATTCATTCTCTCACAGTTCTGAAGGCTGAAATCAAGGTGTCAGCAGGGCTGTGCTGTCTTTGACAGTTCTGGAGAAGAATTCTTCCTTGCCTTTTCCAGTTTCTGGTGGTGGCCAGCAATCCTTGGTGTTCCTTGGCTTGTAGATGCAACATCTGCCCATGGCTGTCTTCCCTCTGTCTCTTCTCCTCTTCTTATAAGGACACCAGGGCTATGGTGGCAAGGGTCACCTTAACTCGAGGATGACCTCATCTTAATTAATTACATCTACGAGCCGGGCTCGGTGGCTCAGCCTGTAATCCCGCGCCTTTGGGAGGCTGAGGTGAGTGGATTACCTGAGCCCGCGGGTTCGAGACCCGCCTGGGCAGTGAGACCTCATCTCTATAATAAATCAAAAAATCAGCCGGGCGTGGTAGCATGTGCCTGTAATTCCAGCTACTTGGAAGGCTGAGGCGGAAGGATCGCCGGGGCCCAGCAGGTCGAGGCTGCGATGGCCGGGAGTGGCCACTGCACTCCAGTCTGGGCGACAGAGTGAGACTCCAACTCAAAAACAACAAAAAAATTACATCTACGACTCTATTTTCAATTGAGGTCACATTCTGAGGTTCCTAGTGACATGAACTTGGAGGACTCTATTTAAAAACCCTCCCATTCTCCTCCTTCCCCACATACTCCTTCTTCCTTACTCAGTGTAGGATACCCTGCCTGGCTCCCCTCTCCAGAGGTGAGGCAAGTTGAGGAGTGGCTTTCTGAAATAAAACTACCTTCCCTCATCTCCTCACTTCCAGAGGGCATGGCCTCGCTGGTGGGATATCAGCAAACTCAAGTCTCCACATGTCCAAGAGACACCCACACAGAATTTTTTCCTGCTTTATAGAATGCTTCAAGACTCCTTGGCTTCTGGCCAATCCCTTAGTGCCTCCTGAGGAAGAAAGAGCCTTCTGAGCCTTACAGTGGGCCTTCCCAGACCAAGGTTTCTGGCCCAGACATGAAAGCTGGCATCGGCTCCTGCGGCCTCACCTCTGGGCCGAGTTTGGTGACCTCTTTATCAGTGCTAGGGAGGCCCCACCCCACGTCTCGCTGACTGAGCAGCCCCTTCCCCAGGGGGAACCGATGTCCTCCTGTCCCCAAACCTGTGAAGGAGAGGTGGGTTCCTGGGCTTCTTGTAACCCGGCTGAATATTTTCCAGGTTACCTAACCAAACTCCTGCAAAACCACACCGCCTATGCCTGTGATGGGGACCACTTGAATCTGCAGTGCCCACGGCATTCTACGATAAGTGTCCAATCGGCATTTTATGGGCAAGATTACCAAAAGTGTAGCTCCCAGCAGCCTGCCACCCAGAGGGAAGACAGCTTAACCTGTGTGGCACCCACCACCTTCCAGGTACCTTCATAGCTGTGTTAAGATGATGAAATGGTTTCAACACACTCTGCCTTTCTCGCCCGCTCTCTCTCTCTCTGTGTATATATGTATATTATATAGTTCACGCAAAACTGATTCAGGAAAATCCCAATTTATACAGATTATTAGTTTTGCAGATGAGCTATTTTGTTCTTCAAAAAGCTTCCTTGCCAAACGAGTTAAATAGAATTTCTACCTATTGGCGAGTGCCCTTGATCACATACAATATGAATTTATTTGTAGGCATACGCCATACTGCAGTAAAGCAAATACAACCATGATGGGCTTCACCCTCCAGGCCCACAGCTTCCATAAATACCCCCATAGAAAGAGAAGGCTGTGAATCCTTTCATGGAAACCATCAGTATCTCTGTGAGGCAGATATCAGAGTTCATGGTCAACATTTTAGAAAATGTACTCAAGGTAAAGGGGTATCAGTAAGTGCCTTTTACTTTTTCATGGTTTGCGTCTCATGTAATTAGTTGTAGCTAGTCATGTTATACTTGTTTGGAGCTATTTTGGGCAGCCTTTGTTGAATCTTCTACTGGAGTACCAGGAATTGGGGGTGGTTGGTATTAAGTCATTCTTTTTGTGGTTGGAGTATTCAGGGAAGGATTTGGCATAGGAGAAGGACAAAACTAATACTTCCACGATAGTTTGAGACTATTTGTGGCTTTCAACTACCCAAGCAATTTCTACATCACTGTCTCTGCCCCCTCAACTTTTATAGTTAGTTGGCCAAGATTACCGAGTTCCTTGGCCCTAGATTTTTGTTTGTTTGTTTAATGTCTCCCAAGTTCCAAATGAATACATTTAAGGCAAAGAATTTAGAGCAGGTGGCAAGTTGGAAGTCAGCTTGGTTTTGTCAGCCATAGGAAATGTGGATAAAGATACATTTACTAGGATAAATAGAATTAACTTTAATGCTGTGTAACTCTCCCTAAATCCAAAAGAGGAGAAGCAAAAAGAACATGACAATGTGAGAATTTTTCTATTTCTTATACCATTTCTTGTTTTCATCACAAGCATCGTAGTATCTGAGTAGTCTTGTGACTGGTAAAAACACCAAGTGAATAGCCAAAAATAATGTATTTGAATTAATTCCCTTGATGTGGTTTCCATACACGGAGGAAAGACATGCTTCCTCAGGAGGCAAGAGGTTGCTTTTCTTGTGTGCCATGTGTCTTGGTCTGTTCTGTGCTACTATAACAGAAAACGTAAGACTGGGTAATTTATCAAGAACGAGAATTTATTTCTCGTAGTCCTGGAAGCTGGGAAGTCCAAGTTCAAGGTACCAGCAGGTTTGATGTCTGGGAAGGGCCCAGGGGACAGAAGGAAATGCTATTCTTTACATGGCAGAAGAGTGGAAGAGACAAAAGAAGGAGAGTTTATAAAAACTTGCCCTATTGTAACAAACCCATTCCCCCTGTAACAACCTACTCCCAAAATAGCAGCGTTAATCCACTAGTGAGGGTAGAGTCTTCATGACCCAATCACCTCTTAAAGGCTCCAACTCTTAAATTTTAACACGAGTTTTAGGAAGAGGACAAACATCCTGACCACAGCACTCACCCTACCCCCAATTCTTTCCCTCAGCTACCAGGAACCATATCCCTCCCAGCCCACTTCCATTCGTCACTACCATCTTTAGTTCCCAGGCTGTCTTCTGCCCTCCTAGGGCATGAAAAGAATATTGGCCAATGCCAGAGGGCGGAAGTGTCTACTTTGTGAAAATGAGAACTCCTGGCATGCTGGAGTCCTGAAGCATGGGCACCACCCTCACCCTTCCCGGGGTACCTACCTCTGCCAGGCACCCCTGAAGGAAGAAGATGCTTCGTAACCAGGTCCACAAGTTAGCAGTTGAGAGCACAGTCCCAGTGTTGTTTAGAGGGTTTGTTTGCCAGAAGCATCCCTGTGCTCCACTGCTCTTTCATTCAGAGATGAAGAGATCCTTTACCTTGTGTTTTTTTTGCACTTCACTGGGAGTCCAGGCAAGGTGCTTCCACAAAAGGAGGTTGCTTGAGGCAGGAGATATCCACACAGCAGACCACAGATGACCCAGACTCTTACTAAACATCAACAGAAAGGCCTCTCTCTGCATTTTTCAGGTCTTAACACAGTTTAAAAACAGCCTTACCCTAGGGCCCACTGAAGTTGTACCAGCAGGACCCTCCAGTGAGTCATTTCACCATGACCCTTGGCCATGCCCTTATGCCTAGTCATCTGAAAACCACGCCTCCTGGGGGGATCCGAGGGGTTCCCTGGGCATTTTTAAAAAATTGATACACATCTGTTGGGCCCCTGAGGGAAAAGGCAATACCTGGTAAGACCAGCATCCTTCACAGAAATATTGCATGAGCTACTACAAGCATATGGCGACTCAGATAGACTCATGCCTCAACACTAAATTGAGTCCTGAGGTACTAAATAGATTCTTGGGAATATTTTTTTTATAGTACTTGGTTTCCTTTTCACCAGAACCCAGTCCAGGACCTCTCTGTTTACCACAGGCACGTCCTGTTCCATTTGGGAACCAGAAACTAAAGAACAGCAGTAAGATGCTGGGCCTTTCCGGGACCTAATATAGGGTGTCCTGTGAACTTCCTCAGAGCAGGATTCATTAAGAAATGGGGGAGCTGCCTGGAAAAATTAGGAGAGAGAGAGAAGGAGGGAAATTGAGATTTGAAAGAAAGGCTTCAAGCCGAATGCTCAACACAGGGTCTGAGTATGGCACTAACAAAACTGCTCCCCACAAGAGAAGTGGGCCCCCTACTCTTGGTTTGGCAAGGGTGGGAAGCAGCTTTTTAGTTTTTATTTGCTGGCCTGGGTAGGACTGTTTCTAAGAAGGAGGAGCCAGCACTGTGATTCCTGACGACTGCAGCTCTCTCAGCTTACAGCTAGGGGACCTCTCCTTCAAGAGGACCTCGAGGCCTGCTGCAGCCCTGACCTCACTTGTGTACCCTGGAGCCTTGACAGTGTAGCGCCTTTCTGAAAGTATCAGCTAGCTGTGGAGGATGGGAGACTGGTTTTTGGACAGGAATGGGGCTATAGGATCAGGGTCCTTTTGAGGGGAAAGAGCAAGGAGACACGGAGCCAACCTGTCACCCATAGGCATGTGCTTTCGCCTTAGCCACAGCTCAGGCCAGCGCAGACCCCACAGTCAGGCAGGGAGGCATCCCTGCCTCCGCAGAGCAGCCCAGGTTCGGGGTCTGGCAGACACTGCGTGCAGTTTTCAAGCCTGTCCCTTTTCTACCCCTTCTTTCTAGAAGGTGCTGGACGAATGCCAGAACCAGCGTGCCTGTCACCTCCTGGTCAATAGCCGAGTTTTTGGACCTGACCTTTGTCCAGGAAGCAGTAAATACCTCCTGGTCTCCTTTAAATGCCAACCTAGTAAGTAACTTCTGAGGGGTACCCTGTGTTTGGGGTGTGGTTCCCGTTTCCTGTGCACTGTGAAAGTTATCTGCTGGTCGGCTTTCCTCCAACTTTGAAACTCTTGGTCATAGGGCACCACCCTATCTCGTTTGTGAAAGTCTGTGTGTGCACGCACACACGTGCACATGCATTCTTACAAATGCCTGAATTTGAAGATCCTTCTCAATATGTAAAACTCAGCCATACCGATGCTAAAAGAGTATCAGAAGTGGCAAGAGGCTGCAATGGCTGTTCCTCAAGATGAGGAAGCTGTCTGCTTTTCAAGGCAGGCTTGTGCTGAGGCAGAGGCAGATCTCTCCTGAAGGGCTGCCTGTTTGTTCCCTGGAGACCAGTAGCCCGATTACCACCTGAGCCCCCTGTACCTCCCCCAACCCTGCACTCCAATTCAGATCTTTGTGAACTGGCTTCCCTCACTCTCATCCATGGCAGGGGCTCCTTAGTGGTGTTTGCTTCCCAGGAGATGAGAGAGGACATGACTGGAGCAGTCTCTTTCATTTGGATTCCTGTTCTTTTCTCCATTTTTGCCATTTCTAAAGTACATTGGTTTTAGGATCAACCCAGTACCAGTCCCCAAAAAACAAAACACTCTTCAGTAAGTGATTCATACTTCCAGGCACGGAAGGTCTGCCTGAGAAAAACCGTAGGTAATTGCAGAATAAGAAGTTCCTGAAAACTTCTCATGCCTGTAATCCCAGCCCTTGGGAGGCAGAGGCAGAGGATTGCCTGAGCCCAGAGGTTCAAGACCATCCTGGGCAACTTGGCAAAACCTTGTCTCTACAATAAATTTAAAAAAAAATTAACTGGACATGGTGCTGCGTGTCTGTAGTTCTAACTGCTAGGAGGGCTGAGGCAGAAGGATTGCCTGAGCCCAGCAGGTTGAGGCTGTGGTGGTTATGAGTGCTACTGCACTCCAGCCTGGGTGGGCAACAGAGTGAGACTGCAACTCAAAACAACAACAACAACAACATTTCTTGCAGAGAAATGATAGCAACAACGTTTAACCAAACTGTAAGGAATAGGAATTTTAAATCCTTTCTGCCACCCAACACAACTTTTCCATTTCCGCATTTTGTTCTCTGTTGGTTCCTGCCCTGGGGTCCAGCATTCCTGGAGACCTTGGTGGCATAGGTGCCTGAGATGGAGAGGTGTCAGCCATATTGGTACCATGGTCTCAGGTGCACATCTGGGAAGAAATCCATGGATTGTTAAGCAAATCACAGGTTTCTGTCAAGTCCCTTCTTTGCAAGGACCAGGACACTTTGGAGCTGCCCTTGAGACCCTTCCTGACACTGTAAATACAAACACACTCACTCACACCCACACCAGTATACACATTCATGCACACACGCACCATTACAACGCACACAATAGATGCTCATACACGCGTTATCACACACTATCACACTCTTATACCCTATTATACACACTTACATACAATCACACACATACATGCGATCACACACTCACTTGCACATGCACAGACATACGCTCTATCTTCGTGCTCACACACACTCACACATAAACACGTTCACAAATATCTACAAGCAGGCCTGAATGGGGTAGAGGGGTGGGTTTGTGGCCCTCCACCCCTAGGCATTCTCATTATTTGACTCCTGACTCAGTCAACAGTCTCAGGAAAATCACTTAGAAGTTTGGTGTTTTCTGTCACTTCTCTCCCACAGTTGAATCTCAGAAACGATGAGACCCTGGATGACGCCCATGACAACACACCTGATGATACCCTTGACTGCCGTTAGCTTTGCCTCCTTTCTTCCCCCCTACCCTCCAGTTTGTTTTTACCATGATGAGAAAGAGTACCTTTTAAAAGCAGCCCTTGCTCAAGACATGAACAATTGGAGAATCTAGGGGGTGAGACTGTGACTGTTTCTTGTGACATTCCTTCACATTTTCATAATAAAAAGGTTGGGAGAACCAGCCTCTGAGAGAAGTCAAAGAACCCTTACATAATTAGCTGAACCTTGGAGAAGTCCATGTGGCACCACAGCCTTATTACTACAGTGTGTGATTTAGTCTGTTAATTCATTTCATTTCAGCAGACACCTATTAGTCGCTTACTGTGTGTAGGTGTTGCTGACTGTGAAGAGAACTCACAGCGCACAGAAATTTTCTGAATGGTAATTCTATCTTGGGTCGTTGTCACACCCCCTCCTGGGCAGTTTCCAACCTCTTTTCATCCAACGAACATTTACTGAGGTCTTCACATAGCTGGTTCCTCCTCGTTGTTTAGTTTCCAGCCCAAGTAGCACCTTTCCAGAGAGGTCTTCTCTGTCCTCTCCAGAAATCTAAGGAAGCCCCCCACTTCCTCACACCCTGCCATCTCTCTTTTTCCAGCATCCCATTTTATTTTTTTCACAGCACCATCATCATTTGGATTTACCTTATTTGTGATTTGTGTATTATACACACACACACACACACACACACACACACACACACACAGCCCATGAGATTGTGAGCATCATGGGGGCGGGCAAGGACTCTGTGCTGTTCACCATGGTAATCCCAGAACAGTAGCTGCTTAATATGTATTTATGGAGCACATGTTCACCTAGCGGGGGCCAGGTACTCTTCTCAGCACTGGGGAGACACAGGTGAGCAAATCATCAGTAACCAGATGGTACAATCTAGTGAGGGCCTGACAGTCATTATAGAATCATACAAATATGTGCACAATTCCAAGTGCGGTCAGGGCTCTGTGGAGAGACCCCTAGTACCTATGCAGGTAGCTCATAGGAGGAACTGACCTCAACAGGGGTTCAGCGGAGACTTTTCTTTTTTTTTTTTTTTGAGTCAGGGTCTCACTCTGTCTCCCAGGTTGAAGTGCAGTGTCTCTATTACAGATCATCACAGCCTCAACCTCCTGGGCTCAGGTGGTCTTTCTGCCTCACCTTCCTGAGTAGCTGGAACTACAGGCTCATGCCACCAAGTCCAGCTAATTTTTAAATTTTTTTGTAGAGATAAGGTCTCACTGTGTTATCCTGGGTGGTCTCAAATTCCTGGGCTCAACAACTTTCCTGCCGTGGCCTCTCCAGGGAGAGATTACCAGGGTAAGCCACTATACCCAGTCTTTTTTCTTTTCTTTTCTTTTCTTTTTTTGAGTATTTGATTGTTTCCTGGAGAACTCTTTGCCAGCAAATCTCACTAGAATCTTCTTTTCCCTAGTGTGCTTCTCTACCCATACCCCCTCCCCTCTCTAGGAAATTTAGGTTTCAGCAGATCTTGGATTTAGACAGTTCTGAATTCATATTCCTTTCTGTGTTGTGGATGCTGTGTGACCTTGGGCGGTGTAGGGACACTTCTGAGGCTCCAGGACTTGGTTATAATGTAAAGATAATATTCCTTTCACATAGGCCTGTTGTAAGACTATGACGATACACAACTTACACATTTATGTGCATAACATGCTTAGCACAGAACCTGCCATGGAATCAAGATCAGTAATTGGTAGCTATTATTCCAATAAGCAGATGAAAGTAACTCTTGCGAAAGATGTGAGTGGCACATTTCAGAGGTTGTTGGGGGGTGGGGGAGTGTGGTGTGGTCTGCAATAGCAGGGTGCATTCTCTAATTTCAAAACATAATAAAAGGGACTAAATGTCTATCTGCATTTTGATATCACCATGCACTGGCAATTGTACATGATCAACAATAAAATACCCCCATCATGGCAGATCCTTTTCCTGCCTACCTTTGAAAGGCCATCGCTGATATGCTCCTGTGTTTGTGTATTTTTTTTAATTTTTTAAAATAACATTCTGTTTATAAATTAAAAATGAAGTCTTGCTGTATTGTCTAGGCTTGTCTCGAACTCCCGGGCTCAAGCAATCCTCTTGCCTCAGGCTCCCAAAGTGCTGGGATTACTGGAGTGAACCACTGCACCCAGCCAGCCTACGTATGATTAAAGAGGAACTGAATGATGCATGTGGCCCTCCAGTTGGTAGAATGAGGAGAAGGATTTTTATTGCTGTGGTCCTTTAAGGAGAGTCATGATTCCACTTCCCAGGCTCCTCCCAGGTCCCTCTCCCCCTCTAAGCCCCTAGGAGTGTTGATGATCTGCTTCTGGAAGGCTGCCCACACTTCTGCTCATCTGAGACCACCTGAGAACTCTCACCTAGGTCTAAAACAAATTCTCGTCTTCTAAGAAAAGTAGCAGCAATGTTAGTTAGTCCATTTATTTTTTAGAACCCAGAAATATCACTCCTAGGTGACAGTGAATTAGCACATTCCCAGGGAACCGAGTGACTCAACTTAACACAACAGTCACCCCAAGGATGTAATGTGACACGCCCAGGCCCCCTCCCTTCCAGGAGATGATTTGTCCATAATCTGGGGACCAAATCGCTGGAGGCCTGGCATGCGGGTGTTGTGTTACTCTGGGAGGGTTCTGCTGGCATCGAGGCTACCTTTAATGAATGGGCCTTAATAAATCAAAGAGATGTGGCTAATAAATGCATTATATGCATGCCTTAAAAAAAAACAAAACAAAACTCTAGTTTTAAAAAATTCTGATTTAAAAAGAAAAAGAAAAACTACGCCCGTTTAAAAAGTCTCCAGTTCGCCGAGATAAAGCTGGGTTTTGTGCTGCTGCTCCCACTCTCCCACTGTCTCACTCTCTTGTGGGCTAGATCTGCCACCGGAAGGCATTCTTCACATTTTTCGGTGTTCTGCTAGCTGGAAGGGTACTTTGGCTCTTTGGGGGTTTCTATCTGTGCCCTCTGCGCTGCATCAAAAGCCATCGTTCACTCTGGGCCTTTGAAGTCAGGCAAAATTTCAGTGTTGGTGGGATTTAGCATCTCCTCATAAACAGCACTGAAAAACTCATGCCAGTGCAGATATGACTCACGAAAAAAGAACTAAACCCTCCAATGTTGGGGTCAGACTTAGTATTCTTTTTATTTAGAAAAAGAAAACAAAACTTCCCTTGGCTCTACAACAGTTGAAGCTGTTGTATTCAGATTCCAATTAGCGGGGAAAGGACCGCTGAAACACTGGCTTAGTCACCATTTTAATTTCCCTTTCTTGTGGCGGTTCTTCCTGTCTGCTAAACTACTAGAAGGATGGGGATTTTGTGAGCGTCTGTAGTCTGGTTTCTGCCTCGAGCCTTTCATCAGTCTTAAATGTTCCCATCATCATGAATGAAAAGACAGAGCCAGAGCTGGCAGTAATCTTGAGACCCTACAGTGTTTTCCTTCCTGTGGTCCAGAACTGGGTTTCATGCCTACTTCTCTGCTTTTGGTAGAAAGTCCTGGGAATTTACAAGTTACAGAAATGTGGAGTTTATATTGGGAACTATTTTCTTCTATGTCTTAAGTTTGCAGCTTGGCATTCCTGAGTCCAGGATAGAAAGATCCAGTAGGTGCCATAGCCCTAGTGAGGATTATGGTGGAAGCTTCCAAATTGTCCATAGCAAGGAAAACACTACAATTTGGTCCAGTGTAACACGTACTCATGTAATACAACTGAAAAAAAATGATTTTTAATTACAAAACAGTGTTTATCCTTTCTTCATGTGACACTCTTTGATATTTTCTTAACTACTTTATTATTTATTTTTAAAAATTGCCGGTCACAACTCACTCATGATTTCAAGACTCATGAGTGGGCCTCGGATCACAATTTGGAAAACTTGGCTTGAGGTGTATTAGGGGCAGCCTGCACTTCCGGTCCAGGAAAGAAATGAGGAAGGAAAACATGGGCGTGTGAGACAATTAAAGGCAGGGGTGCATGGGGCACTAATTTCCTTTCCCTTTCTTTTTTTATGAAATTTTTAAAGACTTACATTCAAGGAGCACATGTGCATGTTTGTTACATAGGTGTGTTGAGTAATGGTGAAAATATGGCTTCTGTTATACTCATCATCCAAATATCCAATAGGTAATGTTTTGACCCTCCCTTCCTCCCTCCCCTAGTGTCCATCATTCCCGTCTTTCTGTCCATGTGTACCCTCTTTTTGTATTGTTTTGAGTTGAAGTCTCACTCTGCCGCCCAGGCTAGAGCGCAGTGGCATGATCATGACTCACTTCACTGCAGCCTTGACCTCATGGGCTCAGGCAATCCTTCCTCCTCAGCCTTCCAAGTATCTGGGACTACAGGCACACACCACCGCATTCAACCAATTGTTTGATTTTTTTTTTTTTTTTGGTAGAGATGAGATCTCACTATGTTGCCTTGGCTAGTCTCTAATACTTCTGGGCTCAAGCAATTCTCTTGCCTCGGCCTCCCAAAGTGCTGGGATTACTGGCATGAACTATTCCTCCCATCCTTGTACCCACTGCTTAGCTCCCACTTATAAGTGAGAACATGTAATATTTGATTTTCTGCTTCTGAGTTAATTCACTTAGGATAACCTTCCCATCCCAGATCAGCCGACAACTTCGTGCAGTTCCTGTCATTGAGCTCTTGTTTGAGGTTAACTCCAATGTTCGTTTTGCTAAAAGATGTTCCTGTCTGCTATGTGGTTGTCATTTAAAAGCAGAAAACTCCAGAACAGGGGATGATGTACAGCTAGAATTTTTTTCAATACAAAATATTGTGAGGGGGTATCATATATGCAAATAAACAACCATGGTCCCCACCGTAGTTTGCCTCACTTTTACTTTGTAAAACTTAAGACAAGTGACAGGCTAGGGGAAGATTTCCTGACATATAAGAGATAAAAGTTAGCATCGTGATGGCTCACGCCTGTAATCCCAACACTTTGGGAAGCAAAGGAGAGAGGATTGCGTAAGCCTAGGGGTTCAAAAACCTGCCTGGGCAACATGGTGAGACCTCGTCTCTACAATAAATCAAAAAAATTAGCCAGGCGTGGTGGTGCACAGTAGTTCCAGCTACTTGGAAGGCTGAGATGGAAAGATCACCCGAGCCCAGCCTATCCGGTCAAGGCCGCGGTGGCCATGAGCATGCTACTGCACTCCAACCTGGGCAACAGAGTAAGACTTTGACTCAAAAAAAAAAGTTAGCATCCAAATTATATGAACCACTTCATCACTCCTACCAACAACTTCCACAAATCCAACACACAATGAAAAGGTAGTTCACAGAAGGGCTGTTTTGAGTGTTAAATTATTTAATACATTTAAAGATTTTACAATAGGGCCTAATTGAGAGGAAGTACTCAGTGAATATTGGCTATTATTATTTCTAAAATATCTTTATTGAGACATAATTTATATAGTATTGAATTCATTCTTGACGGAGTGAGATTCCAGCTCAAAAATAAAGTAAAATTCACTCTTCTTGAGTGCACAGTTCAGGGTTGTTGTTGTTTTTTTTTTAGTCAAAAACATACTGAGTTGTGCAACCATGACCATAATCTAGCTGTAGAACATTCCTGCTATCTCAGAAATCTTCCCTGTGTACATTTGCTGTCACTCTTTGATCCTACCTGCAGTCTCAGGTAACCACTAGTCTATATTTTGCCCCTGTAGGTTTGCCTTTTCTGGATATTTCATATCAATAGGATCATACTATCCCATACTCTCAAAGTGCTGGAACTTCAGGTGGGAGTCACCATATCTGACCTTTTTTGTTTTTGTGTCTGGAATGTTGGTTGGTGTTACATTTTTTTTTTAATTCAGAGTCTTACTCTGTCACCCAGGCTGGAGTGCAGTGGCACGCTCACAGTCACTGCAGCCTTGACCTGCTGGGCTCAGGCGATCCTTCCGCCCCAGCCTTCCAAGTAGCTGGAACTACAGGCATGCACCACCATGCCTGGCTGATTTTTTTGATTTGTTGTAGAGATGAGGTCTCACTAAGTTGCCCGGGTGGTCTTGACCCTAGGACTCAGGCAATCCTCTCACCTCTGCTTCCCAAAGTGCTGGGATTGCAGGCATGAGCCACCACACCTGGTTTTTTACTTTTAAAAATCAAATCATTATTAATCATTTTTACTCATCAAATGGTTTTGGGGTACACTTACATTTTTTTTTTTTACTATTTTCTCCAGCAGTGCATTTATAATGCCAACCCTGTATGACATTGCAAAGAAAGAGTTTACTATGGTAAGCAGATTAAACAAACAAATTTTTTCCTAAATTCTTTGGGAACAAAGTACGACCTGGTTCGGATCATCCTAACCTAGAATGCACCATCAGCTTGAGGGTCAATTGTTCCTGGATTTTACCAGATTTGGGGCAGACTTTTCATATTTCTCTAAAGAGGAATTCTTAATAGACACAGTGCCTTGTTTTTGCCCCCTTTCTAGCAAAGGGATAATTTGGGCTCAAGCAATCTTTCCGCCTTGGCTTCCTGAGTAGCTGGGACTACAGGCACATGCCACCATGTCTGGCTTTTTTGGGTGGGGTGGGATAGAGGTAGGGTCTCCCTGTGTTGCCTAAGCTAGTTTCAAACACTTTGGCCTTAAGCAGGCCTCCTGCCTCAGCCTCTCGAAGTGCTGGGATTTCAGGTGTGAGCCACCACATCTGACCTTTTTTGCTTTTTATTTTTATTTTTTTTTTTTGAGTTGGAGTCTCACTCTGTCACCCAGACTGGAGTGCAGTGGCCGCTCCTGGCCCCGCAGCCTCGATCTGCTGGGCTCCGGTGATCCTTCCGCCTCAGCTTTCCAAGTAGCTGGAACTACAGGCATGCGCTACCATGCCTGGCTAGTTTTTGATTTATTGTAGAGATGAGGTCTCGCCAAGTTGCCCAGGCGGATCTCGAACCCGCGGGATCAGGCAATCCACTCACCTCATCCTCCCAAGGCGCGGGATTACAGGCTGAGCCACCGAGCCCGACCTTTTTTTGCTTTTTAAATACACAAATGGGGAAACCAGTTGCAAAGGCATTGGTGAGGTTTAACCGGTCTCTCTCCAGAAGTCTAATGCTTCTTTCAGGTAATTCATTCCTGGTCTTCCCCTGTGTGGATCACAAGTCAATATTTGAGAAAAGGCTCCCTTCCACAAAGGAACATGTGACTCAAGTGGGGAGAGAGAGAAACTTGCTTTACGGCTAGACACTTCCTGGGACCTAACCTGTGTGCTTGCCTCCTTCCCCGCCACCTTTCCTCTGTTTGCCCCTTAGTATAATTCCTGGGGTCTCTGTGCTTGTCCATAGGCCACTGTCCACCCACTTCCTGCAGAAGGCTTTGTTTCCCAGGGTCAGAGACCCCCTGGGCAGGCAGGGTCATCCTGACTGCCCCCTTCTCAGGGAGCAGCCCCAGGGTCATCCTGAGCGACCCAGCTCAGATGGGACCATGCTCAGCGATTCCTCCAGGGGAAGCTGACTGTGCCGCCGATTTTTGTTTCTGCTTCAGATGAACTAAAAAACAAAACCGTGTGTGAAGACCAGGAGCTGAAGCTACACTGCCACGAATCCAAGTTTCTCAACATCTACTCTGCTACCTACGGCAGGAGGACCCAGGAAAGGGATGTCTGCTCCTCGGAAGCAGAGCGGCTTCCCCCCTTTGGTAGGTGTCTCTTCGTCATCGTTGTTTTTGTTTTTTGAGTCAGAGTCTCACCCTGTTATCCAGGCCAGAGTGCGGTGGCACCATCATGGCTCACCGCAGCCTCGACCTCCTGGGCTCAGGCGATTCTCCTGCCTCAGCCTCTTGGGTAGTTGGGATTATAGGCGTGCACAGCCACATCCAGCTAATTTTATTTTTATTTTTCTAGAGAGGAAGTCTTGCTATGTTGCCCAGGCTGGTCTTGGACTCCTGGGCTCAAGTGATCCTCCCCCCTCGGCTTCCCAAATTGCCAGGATTATAGGCTTGAGTCACTGCACCCAACCTAAAGAGAGATCTTAAGGAATTGCTTCATAAGATTGTGGGGCCTGCAAGTCTGAGATCTGTAGAGCAGGCTGGAGACCCAGGGAAGAGTCAAGTTCTTGAGTCCAAATTCTCCAGGACATCAGGCTGGAAACTCAAGGCAGGTTTTCTGTGTTGCGGTCTTGAGAAGGGAATTCCTTTTTAGGGAAAACTCAGTTAGTTGTAGCTCTGAAAGCCTTCAACTGATTGGGTGAGGCCCACCCACATGATGGCAGGTTATTCGCTCCACTCAAGTCTGCTGATTTAAACGTTAGTCACATCTGAAAAATGTCTCCAAAGTAACACCTAGGCTTGTGTTTGACCAAGCAGCTGGACACTACAGCCTAGTCAAACTGACACGTCAAGTTAGCCAACACACTCCAGTTTGCGGCAGTGAAAAAACTTGATCTCTCTGCTATATCACCAGAAGGAATAGACTTAGCTGTGAAACCACTCAAGGAATTGCACTTATGGATCAAAATCTAAAATGAGCTCCTTAGTGTATTAGATTGCTACAACTGATTCACGAATCAAATCTGAAATTCAACATTAATTTTAGAAAGAAACGCATGCCTAAGTAATTCCTTGGATCTGAAAAAAATGAGTGTAGAGTCAACTAACTACACAGGCACACACTCAGATGGGACTCAAGAGAGCAAAGAGGCAGCCCAAGGTCCCAAAGCCTGGGTTCCGGGGCTCTTGAAACTCCACCCTCCCTCTCAGATAACACCTGCTGGTGTTCCAACAGACGCTGTGGGTTTCTGTCTCTTAAATGTCTCCACCCCCTCCTCCCTTTTCCCTGCTTGTGCCTTAGGAAAAGGGATCATTGCCTGGGTCACTATAGGAGTCTCCCTGCTCCCCAGCTTGTCTTTCTTCCCGTGGCCAGAGGCGTCCTTCTAAAAAGCGAATCCATCACATCCTTCTAACACCCTGCAGGGGCTGCCTATGGTATCTAGGTTCCTGAGGGTGGACCCATGGTGATCTAATCCCTTCCTGCAAAAGGAACTTCACGTTCTTTTCATTAATTCTTAAGCTTTCTAGAACTTTCGTAGGAGTTGTGTATGGCATTGTAGGCTCCATTTCTTCTTTACGGGTTCTACCCCCTTCTCTATTTTTCTCTTTCTTTTCTTCATTTTTTTGAGTTGGGGGTCTCACTCTGTCACCCAGGCTGGAGTGTGGTGGCTCACGGCATCTGTGACCTCCTGGGACCAAGCAATCCTTCCACCTCAGCCTCCCGAAATAGCTGGGACTACAGGCATGTGCCACCATGCTCAGATTTTATTTTGTTTTGTTTTATTTTATTTTATTTATTTTGAGACAAGGTCTTGCTATGTTACCCAGGGTGTCTTGAACTCCTGGGCTCAAGCAGTCCTCCTGCCTTGGTCTCCCAATATGCTGGGATTGCAGGTGTGAGCCTCTGTGCCTGGCCTCTATTTCTTAACATTAGGAGGAGCACTCCATCTCTCAGGCTTACAAATCTAATTTAGCTGCTTGAGGTTTGGTAAACAGCAAAGAGTAACATCTACTTCAGTTGTTCTTTTGAACAGAATTCAGTCAGCCAAGCAGTTAGATATGCAGGCTGAATGGTTTGCACTCAGTAGGCTACTGAGAGTTGGATTTAAAAGGGAAAAGTAGGCCAGGCTCGGTGGCTCAGCCTGTAATCCCAGCACTTTGGGAGGCCGTGGTGAGAGGATTGCTTGAGTTCATGGGTTCAAGACCAGCCCGGGCAACTTGGCGAGACCTTGTCTCTACAATAAATAAAAAATCAGCTGAGCATGATAGCGCGTGCCTGTAGTTCCGGCTACTTGGAAAACTGAGGCGGAAGGATCGCCAGAGCCCAGCAGGTCAATGTCGGGGTGACTATAATCATGCCACTGCACTCCAGCCTGGGTAACAGAGTGAGACTCCAACTCAAAAAAAAAGGGAGAAGTAATCAGACAAAAAAATGTTAGCAGACCCCATGGCTAAGAGGCAGGAGAAGGAATCTGCAGGCAGCTGACTTTTCTAAGGCCATCAGTCACGCTCTCTGACATGGAAGTGTCTGAGAATGGAACACTGTGGCATTTGCTTGACTGCTCAAGGTAAAAAGCTTGAACTCATAGAGCAAATACCACCTGCTCATCCTTCTCCCTCCTCCTTTGAAATGAAATACTTCTGTGTGTTGCCTCTGGTGTGCATACAAGGTGAGGACCAGGCTCTTTGCTGCATTTGTGAGCCAGAGCCCTCTTGCCGTGTTCTGCAGTGTGAAAAGGCTCAAAGGGAAAAAAATCAAAGGATCCTGAGGGTGCCTCGTCCGTCCAGCCCTCAGCCTCCCACACAAGCCTCAACTCTGTCCTCACCTTTGAGGTCAGTGCTGAGGGCATAACCATGCATGCAGAAATACATACCTTTGGTCCCGGTGCTGACGCATTTTCTCCATCTAACTGAGTGCTAAGAAATCGTTTGCAACTGTGCGCGGTGGCTCACACCTGTAATCCCAGCACTTTGAGAGGCCGAGGCAGGAGGATCGCTTGAGCCTGGGAGCTCGAGACCCGCCAAGGCAATACAGCAAGATTTTTAAAAATTTGGTAAATAATTTTTAAAAAAGAAACAATTCACTCCTTGGCCCAGGTAGACTGTACGTGAAGGTCTTAAACTACACTTGGTGTGCCCTCTCCACTGAATCATCAGATATCATATACCGTCTTTTGATCCCGTCTCCCACCAGCTGTTCTTCCAACCCCTGCTCAGGTCTCATGGGCTTTCCCCTGATGGTGGTGCATCTGCAGTCTGGCCACTTTGCTCCCACCCCAATCTAGGCATCTCTCCCCTGAACCATCAGGGCTGCATCCTTTCTTCACTTAGCAGCAACCAGAGGGATTTATTTAAACTAAATCAGATCACGTTGCCCACCTCTCCCTCTTACAGCTCTCCACTCTGCCTGCTGTAATTAGAATACATACAATCTCCAGCGGTGGTCCTTCCGGTCTCTCTGCCTTCCTCCCTCACTGCTCATTCATACCCCTGGCCTTTGCACGAGTTCTGCCTTTGGACTGGACGGTTCTTACCTCACATCTTGTATGGCTGGCTCTGACTTGGGATTCAGGGACTGACTCGGATGTCATCTCAGAGACATTTCCCCAGGCACCTGCCAGCGTGGTGCCTTATCCCTGCAGTCCCTCTCAAGGGAGCCATCCCTCTGTTGGATTCTCTTCATAGCATGAAAATAGTCCACATTGCATGTGTGTGTCCCGTCGCTCCAGAAACTGAGCTCTGCAGGGACGGGTCTGTAGAAACCCCAGCAACTAGACTGTGCCTGGCACAGAAGGGATGCCCACGTGAGTCTTGAGATGTGTAAATGAATCAGAGCCCTCCTAAGTGAGGCGCCCACACTGGCTCTGAGGACAGATCGTCATCTGGTTGCAAGCTGGGAATATGGAGCTGGTGTTGTCACAGTTTCCGCCCACTCATGAGATACTGGAAATCCAGATTGGGTTTTTTTTCAGTTGGAGTCTCACACTGTCACCCAGGCAGAAATGCAGGGGCACGCTCACGGCCACTGCAGCCTCAACCTGCTGGGCTCAGGCGATCCTTCTGCCTCAGCCATCCAAGTAGCTGGAACTACAGATGTGTGCCACCACCACGTCTGGCTGATTTTTTTTTTTTTTTAATTATTTGTGGAGACGAGGTCTCACCATGTTACCCAAGCTGGTCTCAAACCCATGAGCTCAGGCAATCCTCACTTCCGCTTCCCAAAGTGTTGGGATACAGGCATGAGCCACTGCTCCCAGCAGCAGATTTTTTTTTTAACTTTTGAAATACTGTGTGAGCCAAACAAAACATGCCTACAGGCCACATCCGCGCCATGGGCTGCCAGTGTGTGTGGGATCTCTGCTCTGCTTTCCAACTGATTCCTGCAGCTCAACTGTGCTGCTTTGAAGAAGAGGAAAGAGCTATGTAACCATAACCCTACAAGCCAGCATGAGCTTGGTAGGTTGCAAAAGGCTCGAGAGGTTGGTTCTCACCACAGATCTCTGTAAGGGTGCTCTGTAGTTCAAGGCCTGGCACACCTGGTTTGAGAGGGTCATTTATGTCCTTGTCCTCTTGGTCTGACAGAACCCCATCTGCCTCAGACTCTGACTACCCTATTGGGAGCACACGTCCTAAGACCCAGCGGGCCTCAGGGAAGCTCTCCATGGCCAGGCACCACTTGGTTTTCTCAACAGCTGAGTGTGGCTTTAGCCCTCAGGTACTGCATTTCCAGTTCTTTCAGGAGAGCATTTCCAGTTCTTTCTAAACAATCATCATCATCATCATTCTTATTGTTCTGCACATACCATAGTAACATTGAACAGAAATAAGAAAAGATTCAACCACAAATTTTACCCATCAGAGGAAAGACTTATTTTTCTGGATTTCTTTCAAGTCGTAGAACAATCTTCATATAATGGCAATTCTAAAGCAGATACATTGGCATGCTGCCTTTTTTTTCCTTTAACATTATAGCATGCGTGTTTTTCCATGTGGCCAGCAAGATCCTAACAGTGTAGATCACTTCCTAATATCTTGTTAAACAGTTTACTTAATGTTCCCTAGTGGCTGGATATCTTTCATTTTTTTCTGACTTTCAAATATTATAAATAATATATCATAAGCTTGTGTTTATAGCTTTTTTTTTCATCTGG